ATCTTTATGACAGGTCAACTCTCATCTTCCAGTCTCGATGAAAAGGATCGTTACGGAGATTAGAAATTGCCACTGTATGGAGAATATAATGACCCGAGCTCGGCAAAGTACAAGCAAAGTTCTCAAGAAAGGAAAGTGACTTTCCAAGAGTTACGGCTTACGTGGGCGCTTGGGACGTTATATTGTTGCTTGAGTAAAAGTGAGTAGAAATAAATGTAAGAAAGCAAATGCTAAAATGTCGAAGACAAATGAACGACATTATGGAAATTTGTCATTGTAGCTATCTCGCTACACACACACACACACGCGCGCGCGCCCGCGCGCGCACATGCTCCGGTATATTTAATATAAGGCAAATGAAGGATTAAATGCCAAAAGTATCGACATAAAGTACTTAAGCCATTGTGACGTTAAATCAAAGTTGTAAAAATTGCAAGACACTTGCTCGGAAACTTGAACTTTGGAGAAGAAATATTGATAATAGCTAAGTACTTATAATAGCTAAGTATCATATAAATTGCGAATAAAAAGATTATTGCGTTTAATGATTATTGATCACTGTATAGTCTGAGCTTGTAATAATTGAAAATTATTCTTGAACTTGGGAACTCGACGCTTGAATACTGCATAGATAGGAATTTCAGCAATCGATGAAAATTTAAGGCATGAAAATTGAATGCCAGCAGAAAGATCGTTTAGCTTCAATACCAATTGCTCAAATAAAATGTACTTTATAACGTTCTAAACAATAATGATTATTTTATCCGATTGTCATAAAATGAGTGATTTCGATTTAGAGCTGCGCCACCAATGCCAAATAATTGAAGATGAAATTTTAAATTAAAAAAAAAAACGTATTAAAAAACAATAGTACACTTATTATGTTAAAGGAAGCGCATACCAACTCATATCTTCTGATTTACATGACAAAGTAAATTAATAAATGGGAACGCTGTCTTCGATTTTACATGCCCTCCCCTAAGCGTAAAAAATACGTTAATTCATGGTAGCCACGTAGTTAAATTAAATAAAAGCCTCGATGTTTTACATGTAAAATTGATAAAATGCAAGTTATGAAGAATATATCATATAGTTGAGTTCTTTACGAAAAGTAAAATATCTTATCCCCTTTCACTTATTTTTAATGACGGTAGTCTACGTCGAGTTATTACTTATGGCTCAACTAGTTATGACATTTGCACGTACACTTCATCAATTGGACATCGAATTAACCGGATAGCATTCGCGTGATCATACCCAAAGGTCATCCTCTAGTCATTAACTTTATAGGTGAATTTTTTATTTTCTTTTAATGGATTTTCACACGATGTTGAATCAATAGGTGTTGGTCGAATCATCGTTGGATAACATTAATACATAAATCAATCACATTTCTACAAGTAATATACCATGTCACGTTCACGATTTCAAATGACATTTTGATAAATTTAAAATTGGCCATTTTAATGAATTATTTTACGGATCAAAACTTTATTGAAATACAAGTTGGTTTTAAATAACATACTTGCTTATTTATTTACGACTGATGATTATTAATTGCTATTTTTCATTATTAACAGGTATAAATATAAATATAGATATTGTTTTTAGCTGAAATGTGTATTCTTCGTATAAATTGCACGGATTAAACGAAAAACAAATGATAATAAATGTAAATTCGAGTCGCCACCAAAGGTAAAACTAACCTAACGAATTTTCCTTGTTAATTCACAAATGTTTTTTTTTTTTCAAAAAAGAACATTTTTTATTATCATAGTTTATTTTGAAAAACCATATGCTCTCACTAAAGAACTAAGATAGAAAAGAAACATATTAACAACGATATATTTATAAATTTTGAATCAAATTTTTTTTTTTTTTTTTTTTTTTTTTTTTTTTTTTTTTTTTTTTTTTTTTTTTATATAATTTTTTATATAATTAGGCTAAAACATACTTTATATATAAAGTTTTTTTTTATATAAACAGAATTATATGTAAGTATATATATGGATTTGTAACTTGTTTTTATAATTTACAGTAAGTAATAAGTAAATTTTATTGAAATAAAATTGATACAAGTCATGAGCGTTGAAGTTGGCTATGTTTACGCTGTTGTAAATGCTTTAATGCCGATTCCTGTACTGTAGGCGTCAAATGCACACGTTTCATATGTTTAACAAATTAAAAATCTAAATCAATTAATGTAAAAAAAGTATTTTAACTAGAATAGCAATTTATCTTTAATTTTAGATAAGCAAATATAATGAAGTTAGAGACTGGCGAGAATTCTCGAATGCCATAATGCTCGAAATTTTTTTAATAATCAATTATGTTGAATAATTTAAATAGATTTCTATTCAAATCTTTATTCAAATTGGGAATACCGGGAATATCATTTCGTTTAAGATAGTATCCTTTTGCAACGAATCTAACGATGAATCGTAAGGGTAAAAAATAAAAAAAAAATAAAAAACTCAATCGATTATAAAATTAACCTCACTATTCAATGTAATTTAGAACATCTGTTTAATAACACTAAATTTATATATATATATATATATATATATATATATATAAAGGGGCCTTAATGTATTAATAAAGCGATTGGATGGCTGATTATAAAGATTTTGTCAAGCTCGGAGTATTGCGCACAAAAGCCACAATACCATGTTGTGCGTAATATTAATGTTCGTTTAAATGAAATTTCAGCCAACAGAAAATCTCAACGGAATTGTATCAACATTTTCTAACCGTCTCAACATATGCATTTTACATATACGAATTACTAACCACAGATGCATTCTAAATGTCGTAGCATAACACGCATTAAATATGTTTTTCAGCCGTAAATAGCACGTGAAAATTTCAGTAAAAAGCCAAGCACCTATCAAGAAAAGACATATCACAATAAATTACAAGCAGTTACTTTTAATTACAGTGAAGGTTAATTGTTTATGACATAAGCGTTACACTAATAAGCTTTTTCTGACGCGAGTTTGCAATTCCCATCGATCGTAATTATCACTCGTGGTTGAAAAGCAAAATAAGAGAGAGAGAGAGATAGAGATAGAGATAGAGATAGAGATAGAGATAGAGATAGAGATAGAGATAGAGATAGAGATAGAGATAGAGATAGAGATAGAGATAGAGATAGAGATATAGAGAGAGAGAGAGAGAGAGAGAGAGAGAGAGAGAAAGAGAGAAGAAAAAATATGTATTGTATTACCAATATTTTTAAAAAATACGGCCATCGAGGCATCGATGGCAATCTCCGCTTATACTTATTATTGAAATCTATCTGAACCTCCTCCAAAAGTGTGCATCTTTCGCTTAACGACACTGACTCGAAATAATTTGCCATTATTCATATAAACAACTTACAAGCTCGCTATTTGAAATAAAGCGCTAGTGCAATTGCATTGCGGCACAGTATCAGCTTGCGAATACGTTCGGCTAACGAGGTTCGACACCGGTCTGGAAACATCGCTTATCAAATGCGCCATCCATTCTTGAACTTTCGATAAACTGATATGACGAATGATGGAGCACGATTTTTCATGATCGTTTTACGGCGATTTTAATAACTCGCGTTTTGACTCGATTCACACCGATATTTGCCTTCTTAGCGTGCCCTCGTAACGCACGCTAAGAATCGTTTCAAATCGCTATTCATTTTTTCGATTTATCACACAAATCGGTACGTACGTCGGGTCGCGAAAAAAGCCAAATCACGCTCATTACTATCCAAAACAAATTCACCATGTTGGCGTTACGGACACTTTCAAAAGTAAGTGGAGGCGGGGCGGAGAGCGGCTGGGATTGGGAACGGGGGACGGTGGACGGTGGACGGTGGACGGTGGACGGTGGACGGTGGACGGTGGACGGTGGACGGTGGACGGTGGACGGTGGACGGTGGACGGTGGACGGTGGACGGTGGACGGTGGACGGTGGACGGTGGACGGTGGACGGTGGACGGTGGACGGTGGACGGTGGACGGTGGACGGTGGACGGTGGACGGTGGACGGTGGACGGTGGACGGTGGACGGTGGACGGTGGACGGTGGACGGTGGACGGTGGACGGTGGACGGTGGACGGTGGACGGTGGACGGTGGACGGTGGACGGTGGACGGTGGACGGTGGACGGTGGACGGTGGACGGTGGACGGTGGACGGTGGACGGTGGACGGTGGACGGTGGACGGTGGACGGTGGACGGTGGACGGTGGACGGTGGACGGTGGACGGTGGACGGTGGACGGTGGACGGTGGACGGTGGACGGTGGACGGTGGACGGTGGACGGTGGACGGTGGACGGTGGACGGTGGACGGTGGACGGTGGACGGTGGACGGTGGACGGTGGACGGTGGACGGTGGACGGTGGACGGTGGACGGTGGACGGTGGACGGTGGACGGTGGACGGTGGACGGTGGACGGCGGACGGCGGACGAGAGACGATGGGACGGGGGGGGGGGGGGGGGGGTGAATCG